ATATCACCATTGTCACATCCGCCCCAACAATAGATGTGATGCTAGGTGTCAAGTCCCATGCATCTTGTGGCTCGCGGCGGCACCGGAACAGGACGTTATTGCCCGATTATGGATGCATCGTTATCCGCGATCAAAATGGTCCGTACTAAACTCTGACCTAGGTACCAAAGCGCAGCCCGATCTAAGATTCTTAAAAGCATGACGTTACGCTAATACACTTACGCAGAGCATCGACTCTTGCCCATCGTGTTTCAACCCCCTCATAAACGATACAGCTCCCTTTATCATGAGCTCCATTAGTTCCTGCGGCCATGATGACCTTTGTGAGGTACGGTCTCCCACGGAGGTTGGCTCTCCCACGACACTTGACTCTGACGAGTCACCGCCTGTGGCTGGCAATGAGGGCGGCTGTCTTCGTACGGAGGATCTGAATCGTTTAATGGACGCTCTAGACGAGCGCAGCATCAAGTTTCAGCGAATGAAAGGCCAAGAGTGCCTCCCTGAGGCCATGATGCACGACCGAGGTGCGGTTGTCCCGGCAGTCGTGGTGTCTCCATCCAATGAATCGGAGGTGGTTCAAACACTGCAGATCCTCACCAAACTTGACCTCTACCATGGCGGCCAGGCTGTGTCAGTGAAGAGCGGAGGCCACGGTTATTTCAACGGCGCCACGTGCGCCGACATCATGCTCAATTTGTCGGCCATGAGGCAGCGCAAGATCGAACAGAACGTTCTCACATTAGAGCCTGGCTGCCTCCTGGGCCATACCATTGACCTGCTCGCCAAGAACCACAAGGCGGTGCCTCATGGAGACTGCTTTGGCGTCGGCGCGGGTGGCCATTTCACCACCGCTGGCTGGGACATCCTGCTTGCGCGCCGCTACGGTCTGGGCTGCCAGTCGGTGGTCGGTGGTCGGCTTGTTCTTTGGGATGGCACGGTTTGGGACGTGGGCGACAAGGACCATCGTGATCTGCTCTACGCCATGCGTGGTGGTGCCGCCGCCGGCACCGGCGTCGTCACGAAAATCCAGCTTCGCCTAGAGGAGGAACCGGCCCTGGCCACGTGGCAATTTGTTCCCCTCACGAAAGACGACCTGAAACACAGACTCGTAGCGCAGCGGGTATTTCAACGAGCCGAGAGCCTGCCCCGGGATATCACCGTCTCGCTTCGCTTTCACTACGAGCTCGGGGAGGACCAGCGCTCGTGTTCTTTCAATGTGACGAGCCTCTTGACGGCCAAGGAGACTCTTCAAAAGCTAAAACGGCATTTGGGTCCTGAGGTGTCCGAGCTGGTGTCTGATCTGACCCGATGGAATGAAGGGTCGTTGCTGGACTTGCGTCTGAAAGTCGCGTCGGACACGCTGGTGAAGAATCCCCAGATGTTGGCGGACATGACTGCCCGCTCCCTGCATGACAATCCACGGTTGTACTGGAGTGAACAGCAGTGCTTGCGCGAGATGGAGCGATCTCACCTTCTTTCGCGCTCGTACTGGGTCACAAATGACTGCGA